ACGATGGACATTGTAGAAGAAGACGCCGAAGATCTTGCAAAAGACCCCCAAGGCGGTCGCTACGCGACAAAGAAGAAATCGGCATCCCGTGTCGCTTACGATCAGGGTACGATTCAAGTCTGGATCCCACTCAGCTTCCCGCCCGTTCCGCAAAAGGGCGGCTGGGACGTATCTCGTCTCCGCGAATCCAAGTACTTCTTCTCATGACTAAGTCCCGCGCTTCGGGGCGACGCCGAACGCGACTTCTTCGCACCAGGACATTACATGCCCCTCGTAGCCACGGAACAGATCCGCAACATCGTTTCAAAACAGAGAATCGAATCGGTGGAGGAATGCGGTTGGCATGTCAAGATTAAACCCCTGACGTGGTGGAGGGCGAGCCAGCCTGGCAGCGGGACCAGGTTGGGGCGCATGAGAAAGGAGGGTGAGAAGAGAGGGAGGAAGAAGGCGCACGTTTGAACCGGTGTTTCTGATCTCGCCTCCGTGGGTGGAGTTATGTCTCGTCTTTTAGTATTGAGTATTTGCATCGCATGGTGTTTTTGGCATTGTTGGGCATGGGGAAAATCTTTGTTGTATATACCTGCTGTACCAAGGGAAACGATACCCTATTTATGTATTATGAGCATGATGAGCACCACGCTTACGAAGCTTATCTTATCAAATGCCTACGTCATTGATACATGTTTCTCGACCTGCGCAATGCCCATATGTCTTGAATTGAAATTCGACTGGAGCCAAGCCTCAGACGGCTCGTAATCGGGCGCGTGATGTACTACTATTACTGCTTATACTCCAGCCCGTACTGATCTCGATTTCTTGTCAGGGTCTGTTGGTGCTCGCTGATGAGAGCGTCATTCCATCCCGTGTTGCTTCAGTTGTAAGAGCCGTAATTGAGATTTCGCCCTGTGTCTTTATTCAATAACAAAACAGTAGTGCGGATCTCAAAACTTGAGTAATTTTTGGGAGTTGCTGCTCATCGGAAGCAAATTGTTGATTCGCTGCCCAGGTAATTGGTCGTTTAGAAACACGTGATGGGCAGTGATGGGCAGGCGCGCTTTGCCGGGCGCGGTTGCCGCCACGAAATGTCGAACGCGTCGGTGCGAGGATAACCCGCCCCCACCCCACCATCCCATCGTGTCTTCATCTCAGCGTTATCTCTATTGCCTGTACGCCTTCTTTGCGCCAACTCCAGTACGTATGCCCACTCGCCTGAAGTAGCTACCACGTCACGTCTTTTATGCGTGGCTGACACGGGTTGCCCGAAGTCAAGCCACTTGAACGGTAGGTGAGGTGGTACAAGAGCTGACTTCTGTACTCATACGCTCACCGGTTCACAATGAGGCTCGTTATCCGTACCTTCCTACTGGATATCTTGTTATTGACAGGCAATCACTTTGAGAGTTATAGGGTGGCGTTGCCGCCTAGCAACCGCACTGGGTAATTAAAGCGATTCGTACCCGCCATGTTGTCTCTACGGTGAGTCCCGCCACCAGGGCCAAATCGCAGTCTGGGTCAAAGGCGCACTGTGTTGTTTCGATAAAGACGACGCGAACCCGCCATGTGAACTCCACAGTGATCCCTACCTTGCGTGCCTTCCAGTCGATATGACCAACTTCACGGAATGTGAAGCGCGCTTTACAGCCGACAACGACGCCGGAAAGTTACTTCGCAGCTTATGGGGATGGAACGGCACCATCGTTGGAATTGTATACAATAACATGACCCAGATATCCAGAGAAGGATGTATACAAGTGTGCGGCTCAGAACCGGATATATACGCATGGAGAGATATCTCAGGAGTAATAACCACCTGGGTACTGCCAACGATTGGTATACTCTTGCAAGCGCCCTTCGAGAGCAACAAATTTCGACAAACATTGTTGGCCATCACGCGATGGGTGGGTTCGCCTATCGCATCGCTGTCCTACGTACTTTGGAACATCAAGGTCTCCGCCAAAGCTGCCTTGATGGTCGATATGTCTGTTCAGTACGACGAGCCGCCTGATTCCGAGTTGCCCGATTGTACACCCGATTGTATGATCGATTGTACGGATCATCATACGAATCATCGCACGACCTATTTTGGCAGCATGCGAGACTCGATGTACCTCTTGCTGGTCCTGAACCAGTACACACTGAAGAAGTCAACTGCCATGTCGAAGGATCTCCATAAAGAGGCTGAGTGCTTATTGCGCATCACGCTCTTCAGCAAGGATTTGATTCTAACAAACACCAACAAGACGCTCCATCAAATGAGACGTGAACTGGCGCAAGAGGTGCGTGAAACGAGACGAAGAGGCACTGTACCAGGTAATCGCTCTTATTCGATAGAATCGCACGCGCTTACTAGTGTATTAGTCTTTATTTCCATTTTGTGGTTCTTGTTTGCTTTCGCACTTTCCATACAAGATGCTTTTAGCGAACTAGGAGCCAACACCACTGCTCACGATCTCGCGTTGGGCTGTCTGCTGGCCTGGTTTCCGGTCCTCATTTTGGGCTCTATCGTAGACCGCAACCCAATCGCAGCAGAAGTGATCCGCAAGAAACTGAACACCTTGGTCGACCACGTTCGCATTTCTCTAGATAACAAGCCAAATCGTACGAAGTACCTTGAACTCTTCCAAGGTCTGCCAGAATACCATGACTTGGAAGTCAAGATCGGGGATGTAGCAGAGAAAGCACAGCAAATGGGCGGCTTTTTTGAAAGTTTTGCAGGTCAAGCGCGGGTGAGGTGGCATTACGGTGCCGCGCATGCCATTTTGTGTGATATCGAGGGTTGTTATATCCAAGAGAAGGGCCGTGACTGGCTGGCAAACGAAGAAGAAGCACGAGCACATCTGGTATTGGGGACCGTCAACGACGAGGGCTTGGTTTGGTTCGATTTCCGAGAATTCTGGCAAATCATCAGTGCCGTCATCATCGTCGGCGGAAGTTGCGGAGGCGCATTTATCTTGAGCTACTTCACGCCCACCATCGGTCTCGGTTGTCGCAGCGGCGGGTACACCATATTCTTCACCGTCGCAACGGGTCTGCTTATCGTTGAAATGGCCGTTTGGATGTACTTTTCGCCGTATGAGATTACTCCGCGTTGGCTAACCTGCCTTAAGGATTACCTGCATAGCCATCCCACTTTCGATGAGTGGGCAAAGAGCGCACAGCCAATATGGGAAAGACTCGGAGAAAGCTTTTCCGCAATGTGTGAAGCTATGGGAGACTTGTTGGTTCTTTGCATAGTCTACATTTGTCTCGTATGGCCATGGGGAGACAGGGAAACTAGGAGAGCGAGAGTCGAAGAATCCCTAGAGAAGACGCAGGCAAAGTGGGACCTCGTCTTCTTCCGACCCATGGAGTGCCTCAACACCATATGTCTAGTGAGTCACCCCTGTGTTCTCTGAGTAAGAACTGCTTTACTGACTACTTGCTCACAGATGTATATCGTCATGGCACAAGTTACCGGGCTGTACAGAACCTGTGACTGCGTAACCAGTAACTGGGCCGGGGGTGGTGGCTACCTTGATTTCAGTCAACAATTCACGTCGAACGGCTACGGGATTGCCATAACCTGGAAATCGGGTACCGCATTAACCGCATCCGTCATGGGACTGGCTATGTTTTATATCACGGTAGAATGGTGTCAGCAGTCTCATCTCTCAGCCGAAGACTACCAAGACGCCAAGAGAGGTTTACGATGGACCCGCAAATATCGATTGTGGACAATGCACGCTCGCCGCATGTCCCGTGGCACATTGACTCGGCTAGGAAAACTCGCTTTCGCTATCGGCAAAATGATCAACATGATCGGTCCAGATGAAAAGCCACGGAAAACGCTCATGTGGACCAGGGATACCACAAAGGAACCAGTCCTCTCTCGCGCAGATTCTGCATATGCAAGAAACGATAGCCATAGGCACCCCACATTCTCGTTCGAGCTAACGCGCAACAACGCTGGAACGCATAATGCTGTGCTCGGTACACCGGCTACAGCACACTCCTCATCCTTGCCAGCAATCACACCACATGGGATACACAACGAAAGCGACGCCCCGGTCGTACCACTCGGCGTGCCCAGTGTTCCGCGCATAAGTGATGACTCTTCGACACCTCTTATGCGGACAGCATCGCAAGAGCACCAGCAACATGAAGTAGAGGACCCAATGAGCAACGAGGAGCATGGCAACGAGGAGCATAGCAACGAGGAGACTCCTTTCTTTGAGCAAGGACGCATGCGCACCAGTACACGAACTTGGCCGAATCCGCCGAATCCGCTGCAAAACCGACGAGGGTATCGTCGCGCAAAATCGGATCCAGAGCTTTCGCACGGTGGTGGAAATGTTGGAAATGTTGGAAATGTTGGAAATGTTGAATTAGTAGTCTCACAAGAACCACCAAACCGGAGATAGTTGTAAATGAGACTGTCTTTACACAAAGCCTTGCAGGTGCGCACGCGTCAGAGGTGATCTCACATGTGTATGTCGCGCCTACACACCTCGTTTGCGATGTCAACGAGGCTCCACGAAAGAACGTCAACGCGGGAAGAGCGCATGTGGCAGAGTAGGAAAGCGAAATTGCGCAGGTAGATACTGAACGTAGAGCTGATGAGCCACTCACAACGTCTGAAATTCATGTCCTACCCATGTAAAGTTACTCCGTTGAATGAAAAGGCTCGTCAACATCCTGAATACACGACTGACAGTACCCATACTTCGATCACTAGCTATGTCTGTAGAATCTGTCATGCCAGCGCAGAGCCCCACGAGTGATTACAGTACGTCTTCGACGGTTTGGTGCGCTGGATTCAAACACCATAGTTAGATACGTAAGCTACCGGGCTTCAAGAGTGCAAACTTCAAGAGAGTTAAATGTCACATATAGTTTGGTATATAAGTCCTCTGTTCCTCTACTAATCTACCACATCCACTAAGCCCTCATATCATCAAAACACCAGCAACTTAACAAGAGCACTTTTTAACAAGTACATCTCACTATCAACTTTCCAAAACATGCCTTCCTTCCTACGTACTAGCGATAGGCGCTGCGCCGAGTTCATCATGCATCCCAATGGGCACTGTGTGCGTCTTCCAAACGGCTCCGAACTCTACTTCACATTCCCCATCCACTTGGACACTCGGCAACCCATGCCGCCCCAGGATCTAGAAGCACTTGCTGCATACCTAGAGCGAACTCAACCACCCCCTGTAGAAGGACCCGACGATCCCATTTACCAGAATAGCCTCGCCGTGCGAGGTCTCATTAGCGACTGGCTCCAAGGCTCCCAGTACCTCGACGACATGGAGATGTATGCGTGGAAGTCTGGTCATGGCTTTCCGACATTCGAAGATGAATTCGGCCTTCCGGTCGATTTCGAGTGGCTGTGGGATGTCATCGCTTTTGAGGGGGGTGAGGAGTTGGTCTCCCGTTATGTCGAATACATTAACGATTCTGCTGAGCTACACGCACAAGGTCATGCCGAAGACCACCATGACTCCGCTTCTATAGGCCGCGCTATTGGCACATCCCACACGCCTCCTCCCGGCTCTCCGCTCGAGCAACCTCAGCATCACCGCTTCGGTCGGTTCCGTGTGGCAACCCAGTCCGACGGACCCGTCTCCGTAGGTGGAGCTGACTTTGCAAACATGGACGATTGTCTAGCATTCCTGGATACCCTTACCGACATCGAAGCGAAGTTGCTCAGTAAGAACATCATACAGTTGGAAGGTGATGGTTCCACTGGGTTGCGCATGGTACCTGGACCGAATGCGAAGTTCCTCCCTGAGCGGACTACGCAGGGTAAGAAGGAACCTGTTCAGATTCAAGCATCCCCAGCTGATCACCAACTTCGTCATGTGCATGTCCAACAAGCAGATCAAGGACCACAACCCATTGTTTTCCTTCAAAAGAACCCTGCAAAACAAGGCCAGGGGCCCGTCCAAGAACAAAAGTCAGGCTTCAAGCGCGTAGGCTCACCACCCAAGCAGACGGTGGCCGTCGAGCTCGATCCCTTCCGCTTCTACGGCCGGGAACCTGCACACGAGGCACGGCATGAAGCTGCCAACGACCAGAGGCTGTTGGAAGAGCTCCGAAACCTATGGGATGAGTCCCAAAACCTAGCCGATCAGTACCACCAGACTTCCAGGCAACCCCCTACTTGGCATGCCAAAGATCCACGGAAGGCCTATAACAAGGTAGTAACAATTGATCTGCGCGAGCAAGGCGCACCCTCATTTCGACCTCTATTCCCGCTCCCCGACGTAGATCCTTCCAAGAAGACCACTCTCGCTCACAAGTCCACCCCCGCTCCCAAACCCGCCGACTCTGTCGCTGCAGAGGCCCGTCGTAAAGTCTTCGGCGCCGAACCAAGTGCTCACCGTATTTTGTCGTTTCAAGAAACCACTAGTCTGCCCATGCGCTCGAGGGTGACTGGTATATCTCCAAGCCGCGGTGCTAGTGTCGACGACCCCGCATACCGTATGTGTGGGACGAGTGTGCATCAGGCGCATGCGGAGGACAGCCCGGAGGATTCGCCTCGTCCAGCTCCCAGTTCGTGGAGGGATGTTTAAGGAATGGTGTTTCGTGTGAGGTACCTGTGTTGAGGAGATTGAGATGTTGGTAGTGTAGTTGGGGTTGTTGATGGTGGCTTTGCTGTGTTGAGTAGGATAGTCAATGTATTCCATCCTTCGACGCATATGCACTTTACAAAGTGGCTGACTTAGCAACTTGCATGCCATCACTATCGCTCCATCACGATCACATCAACTAACTCACGCAGTCCATTACTTTTGCACAATTTATCCATTCCAATGCCGTTACTACCCAGCAGAGCTAGAGAAATCTACGCTATATGGTATGTAAACATCAGATACCAGCCCAAAAAAGGGATGTCGTTCATGTCCAAGGAGATTCGTTGTCGTATCCTTGAAGAAAGCCTATTCTCATGCATATAGAAAGCCATCGGTGGAAAACAATCCGAGGAAGACAAGTAATGGAGCACTGGCCATTGCGCGAGCTCCATAATGTTCCCGAAGAAGAGCCCTGGTATATTTGGTATCCCCATCCGTTGTACCCTTTCCGCGGATCTACAAGCGTCATATATCGTCGAAGCCTTCATGTTGCGCCGGGGTTGAAATAAAGAAGTAAAGTTATAAGATGAAGAAGACATAAACTAGAACGCGAATAGAAGAAAATCAAGGCGACAGGGGGAATCATGCTTGCTTAAAGTCGAAAACCTTGATGGTAATGTGAAAGACATAAAATGGGGAAACTCCTCGCTATGCTTGACCGGCCGTCATGGTTGTATATAGGCCGTAAAGATGTTGTGCGCATGGCGGAAATGCATGAATAAAGGTTTGCGCAGTATCGCTGGTAATGAAGAATAGGTCGACGGGTCGGGGGTATCAATGCAGAGTCGAACACCAAATGCGGAAAAAGACATACTATGCCCTGCTCGGGTTGATGTTCTCCAGCTCGCTGCGCTGGCGCAAGTACTTGGCGGCAAGCTGGTCGCCGCCCTTCATGGACTGCTCCATCCAGTGTTGCGCGACACACATGGTCATTGGGTCGCTGCGGGCGGGGTCTTGCGACGCCTTCCTCTCACGGTTGAGAAGCTCAGTCTTGAAGACCTCGCTGGGCCTGGTGAGCGGCAGGACTGTACGATGAACAAGCTCGGGCGATGTGAGGTAAAAGATCGCAAGCTCACGCTCGGCCACTGCGTCGCCCTCCTTGGCAGTGATAAGAAGCATGCGTCCGGCATCCTCCATGGTGTACTTGGACAGCGGTTCATCAACCGGAGCTGGTGTAGTAGACGATGCACCAGCCTTCTCGACAGCAGCTCCACTGCTGACTTTGCCTGCATCGCGCTTCGAGTTCTGGGTGATGACCTCATCGACGAGCTCTACCATGATCCGGCACACGTCTTGCTTGAGGCCGAGAGCAGCGAGACCGACATCCCAGAATGCCTTGCCTCGTGCAGTCTTGTCCAACATCTGCGCAGGCACAAAAGATGCGATGTACTGCAGGTCTCGGAACAGGGTCTTGGGTCGGATGTTAGCGTCGCGGAAGAGGCCTTGGATGACTTCGACAATCATGTCTGTGCTTGGCGGTCCAACCGGGGAGCGTGCACCGTTGCGAGGTAGAGGGGAAGCGTTGCTGACGCGTTCTACGCTCATGCTATGAGAGCGGCGCTCCTCGCAGTTGGCGATGGCTTCCTCGAGGTTTTGTGCTCGGGAGGTTTGAGTAGCTGGCTCACGAGAACTGAGCTCTGGCATGGTGCCAAGGGTGGGTGATTGAGGAACTGGGGGAAGAGTCTCCCGACGGTTGTTGTACGAGCGGCCCGTTCGAGAAGAGAGTGATGCTATGATGAGCAGCTCTAGCTCATACAGTGCATGCAGTTTAGAGTATGGGTTGGGATGTGTCTGGAACCTGCCCAACAGCCGTCGGAAAGCAACGTTGTACGGGAACTCGAGTAGCCCAGCCTTCTTTGCTGTGGCATTGCCAACCGAACGCGAAGTCGCGTCGCTGGAAGTCGAGGATTGCTCGCCGGCAGATTGGTGAGCGTCGGATGCACTGGCGTGTTGGAAAGTTGCAACAGGCGGGGCCGCTGTTCCACGCTCGTTGCGGCCGAGCGTCTCCAGCGGCAAGTTGCGTGAATCGGGCAGGGTCTGCTTCCGGATGTTCTTCATGCTCTTCTTGGCGAGCTGCTTCTTGCGTTTCCGTTCCTCTTCATCTCTACGCTCGAAGCAATCGTCTAGCAAATCACCACCGAACCACGAGTCGGTCTCGCTGCCGTTGGCGAAGACCATTGTTCCGAGGTCACTCAGAAGCAGGCCTGTGAGTGTTTGCTTCAGATCGAGCATGAAGCGGCGCTTGTCTTCGTTGACCATTGCAGATTGCTTCAGCATCACCGTACCCTTCGATGATGATGCGGTACGTGGTCGGATGCTTGTGGCGTTGGTAGGAGACTGCGCTTGGGTCTGGAACGGTGACCAGAAAGTAGCCATAGAGTCGATTGCATGGACGGGTGAAGATCCACCGAAGTAGTCGGGGGCATCCATGGGGTTTCTTCCCCAGGGGCTCTGGTCGAAACTGGAAGATCCATTGCGGTTAGCTGCGGCACGCAGACTACCTTGGCTTGGCCGTTGCGAGAAGTCATGGCTACGAGAACCAGGTCGGCCGTGGGTCTCGTACTCCTCATCACCGGCGATGGAAAGAGTGCCAACACCAGTCAGAAACAGGTCGCCCTTCTGCCGTCCACTCTCCAGAATTTGTTGGTCGCGCTTGTAGAGGTCGCTGGCCCAGAGCACGGGCCCATCAAGGACGCCCTCACCAATGACCTTGGTGACGCACTTGTCGACTTCGAGACAGAAACGGTGTATCCGCTCCTCGCCCTTGCAAAAGTTCTCCACGCTGTATTGCATAAGCCACTTCAGCGTGATTTGGGACTGCTCGTCTGACAGCTTGTTCGGTCCACCGAAGTCTTGAGACGCTGACATCAGATCAACCAGCTGAGCTTCGTTCTGGCGTAAGAAGCTGTTGCTGTTTCGCGGTTGAGAACCAGACGGGCCTCTGACATTGAGCATCTTTGACTGTTGGTCCATAATCTTGAGAGCAAGCGCAACGTTCCTGGCGTCCTCGTATGGCTTGGAAGTGCGGACATCTGTGATGTACCACATCTTGTCTCGAAGATTCTTGAACGTGAGCATCATCTCTTCGACCATACCATCTGACCGCTCCTGGGACTGCTTGAGCCACACGAACCAGGCCTCGAACTCTTCAATGGCATTGGCTGCCTTGCTGAGGAGGTCGCGCGGGCTGCGAGAGAAGTAGTTGAGAAGGGCTGCGTAGCCGTTCTTGACCAGTGTCGGAGAGCTGAGTCTTTTCAGACTCTGCAATGTCTTGTAGTACATATGCGCATTGACGAAATCGGATCGTGCTTGACACTGGTACATGGCGGTCTCAAGCATGGTGACCAGAACTGAGTTGTTCTCTTGCTTCTCGCCGACTTGAGGGTTGCTGTGACTTCTCGGAAATTGTGGTGAGCGCCGTGACGAGACGTTTCTTTGGCTGGCAATCATGTTGGTAAGCTGGCTTTGGCTCTGAGTGGAGTTGTATGGGTTGCGTGATCCGAGGTTTTCGCTGACGTTGCGTACTGGGCCACGTCCACGAGTGCTTTTGCGGGTCGTCATTCTGTTGCTGAAGTTCTTCGATTCGCTGTCGGGCGCAAGATCCTTGGGAATCTCGTACTCCTCCACCAGCTTGGCGATTGCCTCTTTCAGCTGATGGTAGTCGTTGCCAAGATCGAACCTGTTCCCGCCCTCTTCGTCGTCGCTGCTGTCGCTGTCTGGTGAGTCCTCGTCGTGCTCATCCTCATCATCAAAGTCTTTGCGCATACGCGGCTTCAGCTGCTTTCCATCAGCGGAGATGTAAAGGACAGCCCATCGCTCTGCGCACGGATGGCAAGAGCCTGATGTGGCTTCGAAACCTAGGAGGCGAGTCATCTCAGAACATGCCATTCGCAGCTGTCTTCCGTATTGCTCTGTTGGTGCAGGCTTCATCTCTGTCGGTGATTCGCCGGATACCGGGTTGCTGTCCAGGAGTGGCTCACGCGAGGTCTGGTCGCTGGTCATTGAAGAAGCACTGGCACTCAGGATAGAGCTTGCGTCAGTCACAGAAGCGGCGGCATTGCGGAATGGAACCGACATTCCGGACATGGAAGACGCAGAGGAAGTCAGACCAGTACGGCGCTGGCTGTCGTTGTCCATGTGGCTGGACGACGGACGTCGCTCCGGGAATAGAGCGTTGACCAGGGTGACAATGTCGGCTGGTGACAAGACAATGAATGGCTGAACTTCCACAGTTTCTCTGGGTGATGTTATTGCCTTTGCAGGAAGCAAAATTGGCTTCGAGGGTGTCTTGGTGTGCTTGAACCGAGCGAGGATGTTTTCGATGTGTGTGCGGATCTCTGGGAGGATTTCGTTTTTCTGCTTCCTACAGTTTTGTTAGCTGATGGCCCAAGGGTACTCCAGCATAGCGGCATACCAGTTGTAGGTCATGTTCACGACATATTTCTGCGCTCGGATGGCGACTTCTTTGAGAATCTTGATGCGAGCATGCTCACTGATGTGGTGGCCTATCATGATGCCATGGGTCTGTTCTTGTTAGTCTCGCAATTCTTGCGTTAGAAAGGGTAGACATGCCTCGGGATGGATGATGGCGTTCATAAGGAAGGTAGAGAAGAGCCAACGCGAGACAAAGAAATTTTGCGAAGCCCTGCGCAGGCTCTTCTCGTCCTCCAGCTTGCGAAGGATGGCATTTCCAATCTCCAAGACTCCTTCTGGAATACCGCCGGCGCTGGGCTCATCGTCAACGACCTCGAACAGACGCTTGACAGCCTTGTCAAAGAACTCGTCTGCTGCGATGGTGTCCTTGCTGGAGCGCGGGGTCGCTTGCATTCCGGGTCGTGCGGCCTGCTCCTCGGGCTTCTCGAGCAGGAACTGGCCATCCTGGAGGGTCTGCATAAGATAGAGCTCCAAGTTGGTCTTTCCGGGCCATTCTCGCATGCCGGCCCAGACATCGAGCACAGTGCGGATGAAGTTGGGGTTGTTGTTCTTGATCAGCTTGGCACATACAGTAGCCCATACATCTGTGCGGCGAAGGTCCTCTGCCGAGTCGGGTCCGGATGAATTAGCGAAGATAGTGTAAACGAGGGCAGACAGCGGATCGTGGCGCTGGAAAGATAGCAGACGTTCTACCGGGCTTGTTCCTTGCTGTTGGGCCTTCTGCGAGGGAGCGTTGCGGCTACGGGCGTTTGCAAACATGACCGAGTCAATCGGGTCCATGGTCTGACGGAAAGACGTAAGAGAAGTGAGCTCTTGCTGCGAGAGACTGGAAATACGAGCAGCAAGAAATTCTGGGTTCGTACGGATTTCGGAAATGAAATCGAGAAGGTTGTCCAGAATCTTGGACGGGACTTCATTGAGGAAAGTGGAGGCAGAGAGTGGCTTCTCGCTCCGGAAGTTCTTGGACTTGCCAAACTCCAGATCCGGCTCCAAGAGGGCATATTGCCGCGTGGCATCGCACGAGTTGCGGACATCGTTGAGGGCGTTGTAGAGGGAGGCGAACGACTTCTTGTCGTCGGAGCGGAAGTTGTCAACCAGCGTGCGGTAGGCCAGCTCGCCGCAGTGTACCAGACGTGCGGAGAGGGCGCTCGAGACCAGCCACCGGTGCAGGCGCACGCGGGCATGCGTCTTGCGCTGCTCCTGGTAGCCCTGGAGGCGGATCAGGTGGGCGAGCTCGGCGAGGGAAGTCGCGGACGGTGGGATGGCTGCAGTCGGCAGGTACGAGTCGGTGTAGGAGGAGAGGTCCGCGGGCAGCAGGCGCGGCAGGCGGCCGGCGGGGGCAGACATGGAGGCGGGTATCTGGGGGCGCTGGAGTTGCTGGTGGCCATGGCGGTCGGCGTGGACGTCTGGAGTTCCGCCAGGTCGGCTGCCCATGGTGGCCGGTGGTGGTTTGGGAGCGCGAGGTGAGGGCGACCTGGGCGGGCTGTGAGACCTAGGCGGAGCCTCAGCGGGCGGGTCGTCGACTTGAGAAGTAGTGTGCGAGGGCGTGTGGCATCTGGACGACACATGGGTGACGGTGGGCGACACGGCTACGAGAAAGTCAGCGTCGGCTCGCCTGCCAGCTCATCGTACATGCACAGAGCAGCGCATTGATGCCCGCGCCAGCTATTGGCCGGAGACGCGCTCGCGCACGGGGGGGATAGCAGAGCACGGGGAGGGAGATGGGCACCTACGCGGAGTGTTGCCAGCCTGCGCCGGCGAGGCTGTGAGTTGGGTTCGTCGCATCATGTCGCCATGAGAGAGCCCCATGGAAGCCCTACGGAAGGTGCGGACCTCAAGAAGGTGGCAGAGATCCCCTACGGCATTGCCAGATGGGGCGGTAGTCTTGGGAGAAGAAGAACTGCTTTGGGCGCGCCCTCTCCACCGCGCTCGACGTATGCGCTGGCGCGTCTTGACTCTTTAGGTGGTAATGATACAGAAGCGAGGCAAAAGAAGCGTGATTGGGCCTCGTCCTCGAGTCCCTGTAACAAGTCACGACTGCAGCTCAACGGCCCCCGACTAATCCCATACTACTGCTAAGCCGCCAGCCGCCTAGAGAGCATACCGTGTGCGAAATACAGCGGGGGAGCTGCTTCAGATTGGTGGCCGTGCCAGACCGCCAGACTTGCCCACGGCCTCCATGTCGCCATGGAGCCGTCCAGGCGATGACTTGCAGGAACAGCACATCGCAGTGGGACGAATGAGGACCAGCCCGCCGAATGCCTCAGCTCAGACCCTCGCCTTCCCACACCAGCCATCCCCGCCTCGCACAGAGACTCGTCGACAACGCACGCTTTGGATCGGCGCCGTCGTCGCTCTGATGGAAGCTTCGGCGACGCTCTCCCGCCGCTGGTGCTGGCCGTGTTGATGTCGCCATAGAGAGACTAGGCGGTATCGCTGGCCGCCTCTGCGACCGCCCCTCAACGCTACCCCTCCTCCCTTCACCACGGCACACTGCCCTCACGAGCAGCGCAACTCGTAAACTCTCAAACACGCTTCGCCGCTGCAGCTGCAGCGCCAATACAGACGACGCCCCTCAGCTAATCGCCTGCGCGCAGCTCTGCTCGCCCTCCTGACGTGACGGCCGGCGAGTGGAGTCGCCCTCTTCCCCTGCGCTGCCAGCGCATGGCTGTCAAAAAGGACCATGCCATGCAACATGCTGCACGCCAAAGCATCGCGCTGCACCGCTGTGAACCCATGTTTTCCCATTCATCTCCCAGTGCATGCCTAGTGCCTCGCAATCCTCGACATCATTCATCACTCCGCCATGCATATCCAGTCGCCATCCAATGAGCCGCACCGTCACACCACATACTAAACTCTCTGCAGCATCTCCTGCTTGGGGCTATCGCTGCAGTCGCTGCGGAGCTTCGTTCCTTTTGCATGTTTGCAGTCGCATTGCGTCTGCCGCTATATCCTGGTGCATGGCAACTCAATCGCGATCGTAATATTACGAGATAAGAATATCCTGCGTGGGCGTTGAAATGTTACATTGAACATGTTTTGTTTCCAGCTGGCTATCGGAGATCGTCGACCATCTGCCGGTCGCGTGTAATACCCCGCCACACGATTGCCGCATACAGACCGCTCCTTCTTCAGGTACCCATGGCCATTCCACGTACTCTACCCAACGGCATTTGGGCTGACGGTCGCCCTGCCCAATCGCTGCTAAGCGCCTATCTACAATGCAAGACATGCGAAATCGTGGCGATCCCCGCTAATCCGACACCAACGCGCCAGCGTAGCGCTCTACCGGCACCATTGTACCCGATCGCTGCCTCCGCGACTCCATCACAGCTTGCCCAGAACCCATAGTCAAGGCATGGCTTCCCTGAGTAGAGGAGCGACACGTTTCCGACTGTGCTGCACTTGTCGCTGCCACCAAGTCTTTCTCCACTCGCTCTCGCTGTCAATGTCGTCGGAGCCCTGCCAGTCCTCCAATCCCAACTCATCTTTTGAATTCGTGGCAAATGTTTTGGCAGCCGACACGGCGCCGTCGTTGAAGGCCCATAGTAACAGTTCTCTCTGGAATTGCCCATCTGCACCCGACGACGTGGTCATCAGGGAATACATGTCCAATCCACGCTCCCTTGCAAAGTCCTCCAACGCTTTGAGGAACGCGTCGGATGCCTGAGCACCTGCTTCGTCGCCAGCTTTCTTCTGGAGAAATCCTATAGGCTTGACAACAGAACTAACACCGAGCTTTCGGCCACCCTGGTCCCATTGCTTATAATCCTTCCGAAGTATGTCTTGCAGCTTTAGGCTTCCAATGTCCTTCTTTGCTGCGTTGATCTCCTTGTAGAAGCTGGCGCGGTCGAAGCTTGCAGCCAGCGGGGGACAGAGCATGATCTTAGCTTCCAGGTACTCGACTGCCTTACGGTCATGCTCGGTCGTTTTGTTCTCGTCGTGGAGATCGGCCGTATCGATGAGAATGCTGGCCAGTCCCAACTGGGCGACGTCTGCATCCCAGCGCTTGACAAAGGCAGCGTCGTTGGACATGCTGTCACCCTGCGCATGGGCTGCCCCCGAAGACAAGGCAGACGCGGAAGCCATGTCCCATGATGGCTGACAGTAGTTTGCAATCAAGCTAGTGCAGCTGCCACACTTCTCGATTATCCTCGGCTCGTCGCCTGTGTCTTCCGGTACTTTTTTCTCATCGTCATGATGATCAATGACACCAGCGACACGCTCTGCATATATTTTGCCCAATTGGCCCTGCAGCGCATTGTGGTCTACCAAGATCCATTTGGTATTTTCAGGCGCGAGCTTCGACTGTATGTCTGACAAAGCAGGAAGGTCATCCAACGTGATCAAGTGCTTTGACTCAATATTGGCGTGCTTGAATACGGCCAAGTATTCCGGTCGTAGCTGAATATCGGAAGCTGAAATATTTGTGATTGGTACGTAAAGTGGGCTAAAGGCATTTTTGGGCGGCGACATGGACCGGAGGTATGCGTACAAAATGGAACATGACATCGAATCAAGGTCTGCATTTCATGAGTATGCAGCGCCATTGTGGAGCAGGAGTCATGCTCACCCGCAGATTCATTGCCAATGACGAATGTAATCTTCTGACTAGTTTCAATGGCGCTCCGGAGAGCGCCTCTCGCGTGTGTGAGAAAGGCTCGCAAAGAATTCCTCGGCACCGCCATGACTGTGTTTAGCGGTGAGACGTGTGTAGGTTTCGGGAGGGTGGAAGACGATGAGCGAATGGTGTTCAAGAATGGAAGTGACGTAGAAGGCGCTCGGACCACGCCACGTGCATCACGAGGGCAGGAAGGCGCGATGACGGGAATGTGGTGGGCAAAGCGACGTTGACTGTTTGTGGGTGTGAGGTTTTTCATGGCCAGATCGCGTGACAATTGGGGAGCCGATTGTATTCTCTGGTGTCCTTGCGTTGCTACCTACCCAGCACTTGGAAAGGCGCCGCATGCGCGTGGTGGCGCATGGAGGCTTTGACTGACCTCGACAAGACATCTCGCGATATCCTCAGTGACGTGCCTATGCAATCTCGACGCTACCTGCCGGGACTCCTCTAGTACTCCGTAGCCGACGAGCAAAGAACTGCATGATGGGCAACATCTCGTCGCGGCTGCTCGGCATGCCATCGCCGTTCTTCTTCCACTCTTTGAACTCGATATATTGGAAAGCATCCTTCAGCTTCGTAGTCGCACTGTCGGTGACTGCAGACTTCTTGTCTGCTTTGCAGATTAGCACCGGGGTCTTGCTCTTCTTCTCCAAGGCCTTCAGCGGCACTGATTGGGATAGAGGTCCTCCGATACTGATTACCCCGCCTAGTTCTTCCTCAAGCTGGGCAGCAGCCTGCAGTGCGACCATGCCGCCTTGCGCGAACCCAAAGATCATAATCTCGCGCGCTTTGTAGCCGCATTTGCCGATGAGACCTTCGCGAATGACTTGATCTAGGACCAGAAGTGTGGACTTCTGGACGCCGGTATCCATGTCCATCTCGCCTGTAGTGGAGTCAAAGATCATGTCTTCACCCCAGTGCATCCCACCGAGATCGAACGGCAGCGGGTTCGGCGCTTGTATCGCAATGCATGCTGTTTCTGGGAGGTTCAGCTGCTCGCCGAGCTTCGTAAAGGACGCATTCGTGTCGCCGAGGCCGTGTAGGAGGATCAAGACGTTCGTGGGTGGTTGCGAACCCGGCGCTGCACAAGTTAGCGGGGGTAAGAGAGACTCTTGAGATTGCGACCTACGTGGCGTGATGGTCAGGGTCACTGACGATGGAAAGTCAGCTTTCGTAGGGAGTCGGCCCGGCATGTTGTTGCGAAGATGGTGTTGTGGCTGAGTACATGGTGGAGTTGGAGCACCTGAGACTCGGGAGATAATCGCGCGCTAACTAGCCAAGCTTTCTACCATGGAACAAGCAACAGCCCCAGCGATCGTACCTGAGGCCAGGCTACACTGTTGGCACGAGATTTCAACTTTCATTTCGCATTCCGTGGTACTGTCCATGAGGATTTGGGATCTCTTCCAGGCGCAGGCCCTAGCTCGCGAGCCTAGACGCTCTGTCATGCAAGGCTAAGCTTTACCAAGGAAGCTTGTTTGACGGTGCCGAGAGTCCCGTTGATCTGACGTCCACATCCTGGCCCATTACGCACGCGTCTATACCGCAACAGGTTCGTCAATATACTTTCAAACGTGCCGACACGAAGAGTGAGCCACTCAGATTAAGATTTCAGTGGTCTGGTGCGTAACGTGGCGCAAGAATGAGCTCAAGGACCCTGCATGTGCTTCACAGCTGAGCCACAAGTGGTCCCTGGATGGCTGAGGGCGAGAAGAGAGGGGTACGATCGGCCTCGATGAGTGATTTGTTACTGCCAACAGATGCATGAATGCTGGCCGACTATGACGCCGCGTGGCAGCGGTTGTCCGAGGAGAGATACTTAAAGGCTGACGAAGTACGCCTCTAACATGGACACTACACTCGACTACCATTGCTGAACTACAAATAAGTCCAATAGTACTCCTCATCTTTCCGTCTTCACATCATCAACTATCAAAATGGGTTTCTGGGGTGCGTCTGTCTCACTTATTCAAGATGTCTCTTGCTGACTCCATTACAGACAAGAACGAAGACAACTACCAGCAGGTATACGAGAATGACAACTTCGAAGAGAACAAGTCCAGTCTGGGACACGAGATGATCGCTGGAGGAGCTGCTTTCGCAGGCTTCAAGGCATTCGAAGACCACCAGCGCAAAGAGGGTATGTGTTTCCACATGCTTGATCTTATCGCACACTGACGTCGTCTTAGGCAAGCCGGTATCCCATCAGTTCGCCAAAGAGCTTCTTGCCGGCTTCGCAGGCGCTGAGGTAAGCATCACCGTGTGACGGTGTATGGGATGGCGGCTAATCGGACGTCTGTAGGTTGACAAGCTCGCTGAGACCAAGGGCGAGGACTGGTTCGACCGCGAGAAGGCCAAGCGCGACGCAGAGCACCATGCAGAGCGCATGTACGACGAGCACTACATCGACAACCACGGCGCGGACCAGTACGACCCTCAGCAGTACGGTCGCCCAGAGAAGTTTGAGAGGCGCGGGTGGTAGCGGAGGAGAGGCGACTGTGATTGGTCAGACCCGTAGAAGCAACCAAGAATCCAATGAAGGACTAGCTCAATCCTTTTGAGACCAGTGCTCCGGCCAGCCCCTCGGTATCGTCAACGTGTTTCGTGAACAGTGGCAGCTGTATGTCTCTATCGACGTGGGTGTTTATCCGGTCTTGTGCTGGAGGCTTCTGAGGGGCTTCCACACCTGCAGAATACAGGATCCCTAGGTATGACGTTGTCGCCAATGCGCCAACAGCTGCCAAGGGGAACATGATTCGTGCAAATCTCCTCCGCGGTATACTCAATCTCAGCGTGACAGCCCTCGCAACCACGGTTTAACTGCTGGAGGTAGCACACGACCATCTTCGCATTTACTAACCCTTATCGCGCCCGTGAAACATTCTACAGTGTGCCTGCGCGGAACCTCATGCATCGACGAGAAACGCAAACGCGCTTTTGTGCCCCCCATTGACCGTGTTTGGGTATTGACGCGCCGACGAGACGGTCATGAAGTTCGCAAAGTGAGACGACGCACCGAAATAACTCCAGCCACGGGACTGACTGCAGTAGAGAGCTAGAGCGCGATCTGGTACCGGAGTGGCGGCTCAAGTACTTAGACTACAAGGTGATGCCGACTTCCGCTAGCCGACGCTTAATACCACAGACGACTGACGATACCTCAGGTGGGCAAGAAGAAGCTCAAGGCCATCAGTCGCGCCCTCCGCAATGTCGAATCGACCCCACGCCTCCGCCGACGCGGCACCCAGATCCTGCCCTCGCCCTTCGACGCCGCGCCCAAGTACACGTACCTCAACCGCGACCAGACGGGCAGCGCCAGAGACCCCGAGGACCTGAGGGCGCTTGCTATCACGAACAGCCGCAGCCAGCACAGCCTGCGCCAGAGAGCGAACAGCAACCAGAGTGGCCGCACGCCCGAAGAAGAGCCATTGGCACAGAGCGAGACGAACCGCCGAGACTGGGCACACAACTACGGCAGTTTTGAGGGAAGCACATCTGATGGCGCCACCAAGACCGGCACCTCTGCAGACAAGGCCAAGGCACCGCCGTCCTTGAAGCTGCCTGGGGCTGCGCTCGACCCTGAGAACCCTTCCCCTCAAGGAGGAGCGGCGTCTGGCGCATCACTGCGAAAGCAGAAGACAGTCACGCTTCCTCCGCCAGCAGAGAACGACAACGACAATGCTTTCGAGGTCGGGAAGACGGTTTCGCCCCACAAGCATCACAGCTCGCTGCCCAACCGATACAAGAGCGTCTTCACCCCCAAGCGCATGAACTCGCTGCCCGGCCCTATCACCGAGCACAAGTCGCGCCCATCGGTACGCCGTCTGTTCTCACTGAGCAGCAAGACTCCCCCGGACAGCCCAGGCGACGTCCCCCTCGAAGCCTATCGTGATCTTGACTTCCGGCAAGCCGAGTTCTTCAACTTCCTCGATGGCGAGCTGGATAAAATCGAGTCGTTCTACAAGCACAAGGAAGACGAGGCTACCAAGCGCCTGAATGTGCTCCGCGACCAACTCCACATCATGCGAGACCGACGTATCGACGAGGTCATCAAGCGTCAGACGGACAAGATCAATGCGAAGGCCCACAAGAAACACGACGGGCATCATGTGCTGAGCAACGGTCAGAATAGCAGCTCCGGTGACGAGAATCAACATATAAACGGGAATGGGAATCTTGGAAACACCCTCAAGGACACTTTCCTGAACCCCATAGACGCCGCGTTGGACGCCATCAACGCGGGCAAGTACGGGAAGAGCACCAAGAACATCACACAGCTTGCGACTCCAGCGGCTCTTCAGCCCAAGGACCATCCCGATAGCCGTCGCGACTTTGCTAGACGGCCAGAACTGCCCGACGTGCCATACCAGACAGCGAAACGCAAGCTCAAGGTGGCACTGCAGGAGTACTACAGAGGGCTCGAGCTTCTCAAGTCCTACGCGTTATTGAACCGGACTGCCTTCCGGAAAATCAACAAGAAGTACGACAAGACCGTCAACGCGCGACCATCATCGCGGTACATGAACGAAAAGGTCAACCAAGCCTGGTTCGTGAACAGCGATGTCATCGAAGGACACATTCGAGCGACGGAGGACCTATACGCGCGGTACTTCGAGAAGGGCAACCACAAAGTCGCCATCGGGAAGCTACGCATCAAGATCGCACGAGCAGGCGATTACACAGACAACACATTCCGCAACGGTCTGCTATTGTCGGCGGGTGTTATACTTGGCATCCAGGGTCTCATCAAAGCAAACACTATTGCAGATCTGCACAATACTGACGGGAATGAGTTCGCAGTGAATACAAGCTATCTGTTGCAGGTAAGTTCATCCAAACCATGGATAGGGCAAAGCTAATGTTTTCAGATCTATGCCGGCTACTTCCTCATCAACTTCCTTCTTCTCCTATTCACTCTGGCGTGTCGGACCTGGCACGAGCACAAGATCAACTACGTCTTTATCTTCGAATATGATACCCGCCACCACTTGGACTGGAGGCAACTTGCGGAGGTCAGTACTCATTCCATATCTGGCGCGCTGACACTGACGTACCATAGCTTCC